TGTCCCGTCTCTATGACAAAACATAAATGACTCGTGAGTCAGGTATATTCGTTCGACGAAATGAATACCCTTTGGGAATTAGTAGAGTGGTCTGGTCACCTCAGCCCTGCGCCTAAGTCCGGGGGTCTGGGTCCAGGCAATGATACTATCCACGAGCATTGGACACTCTCAATCCCCCACACCGCATAATTTTCCTTGAGATGAAATAGCCTGCCGGTTTGGTCCCTTGCAAGTTCACACTACGACTTTGTCCATGATTCGCACCTCACAACTTTCCTGATCGTCGGCAAGGAATTCATTGGGTTATCGTCCGAACTGCCGTGTTGAATAAGGGGGAAGAGGCGGCAGTTTTCGTCCTCGCCCCCTGTTCGAGATCTTCCCGTTAGGCTTGAAGAGTTTTCCGACTACTACACTCCAAAATCTAGCCAGAAGTGAGGCAAATGGAACGTGGTTGGGTAGAAAGGTTGTCCCGGAGCTTAACAAACGGGAAGCCGAGACAAAATCCCGCTAGCTAGACGATGTGAACCAAGAACTTTGTTTAACGAATCCTATGATATGCCTACTTGGACAACCCTGCCGGCAAATCGATAGTAGCACAACACAGAATAGCATACCAAGATGTCCGGACGATCGTTAGGGCGAACTTTGACGGTGGTGCTTTCGGTAGTCAGAAGCCATGTTCCACATTGGACGGAACTTGAGCTCTGACGGCGGAATTGATCAAGAGCCCGACGTTTCTTGGCTGCATCTTCAAAAGTGTCTGTGGCCCATGGCAATTAGACTGAGTTTGGACGCCGCCACGGCATGAACTTCCAACCAATGGACGAATACAATATCTAGAGAGGAACCTGGCGTAAAAGTTATGCTTGAGAATACTTCTAGAAGCTCAAATTCCTTGATTCGAGTAGTTTGCATGAAACAACCATGGAAATTAAACAAGAGGGCTCTCAATGTCCCGGCCGACTCTGTCGGTGAATTTTGGACAGACGCATCGGCCATATGATGATCGCTGTTTGTCAGAGTAGTTGAACCAAGCGAGGGTGTCCGATGACCACCACGCGACTACTGATAAGGCTGGGCATTGATAATCTTGGGTTCATTCCCCTTGCGCATGGGTGCGTACTCGAGATAGATCACCATGTTTAGGCGCGTTGCCTTCCAGCTACGGGAAGATGCAGGGAGAAAAGCGTCCCTGGGATTACTAGGGCTGGGAGCAAGAGTCCCCGAGTCCAGTCTTTTGGCGAGTAGCAATCGTGATGCTGCAGGTTGGTATGTCGTATGTAGGCGGGAAGCTAAGTTTATCTTTGTGGCTTTGTCTTGATCTGGCAGGCTTCCAGCAGCTCAGCTGAGACGCAGAGACCCGTCAAAGCTCTACCTGGAAGTCAGTATAGCTAATAGCAGGAACGTAGATAGCCAGACAGGTTGTCTGAGTGGCATCCATAGTGACTAGAGGGTGAGCTTGCCGGCCCCTTGCATACTTTACTGTGTAATGGAATCTGGTCCGTTATGAGGCTCTTGGCTCGTTGGGTCGCAACAACGTCATGACTAGTTTACTAGTGTTCCAGTAGTCTGATTGGCCGCTCGAGCACGCTTGTTTGAAGTAGACAAGCGCTCTAATGAAGAATGCGGACAAGACTTGTGTCAGTGTTAATGTCGGCCGATATATCGTGGTTTCACTTCACTTAACTCAACGATAATGGCACTGGCACTGACTGCTATGCCGTTTAAGCTTTAGCGCTAAAGATCAAGGGTTGTAATGGGGGAGTGAAGCCTTAACCATGTCATTAACCCCTGTCAGAGTACGCCATAAATAGCATCAAGACACTCACGCTACTGCACTCTCCCCTGTCTGTACATGCGGGTACCGTATAATACCTAGCCTAGCCTGCCATCGTGGCATCTCGAATTCGGCAACCTTGCCCGACATTCTGTAAGCCATCGCTTAGTCTAGAACAAACCAATTCTTTTTTGTCCATGTCTAATCGTCCGGTGGCTGGGTGGTTAACTGAACTAGAACGACTCATGTCTGGCACGTTAACTGAACAATAAATACAGCGAAAACATCACCAGGACGCCATGACCAAGGCTCCTGTCGAGTTTTAGTTGAGCGCAAAAGTTTGCCATTAAGGGATTAGACCGGATTGTGGACCATGATATGTTCAAAGTCCGCAGCGGAGAGCCAGTGACATTATCATTACATAGTATTATATGATAACGATTTGGTCAATATTTTGTTTGGCATGTCGTTACGTATTATTACTTGGCCCTTAATGGCGATCAAACCTAGCCCTGTGCGACCAGACTAAACCGTGCCGGGGGCTCAGAGCCTGAATGAGACGGAATGTCCTCTCATCGTCAATTTCCAAACCGGAACCAGGTGCCTACTGTCGCATGCCAGGTGGCCTCGGTTCACTACAGTAGCGTGATGCTAACCTTGACCCCGAGTCATCACTCAGATCTCGAGATGATACGTTACTGTAAGACGTGTCAGCCGCCAAAAGACCCCTAAAGTCAGTTATGTCATGACTGAGCGACCCTGCGTCTGGCGACAATGGCTGTCGCCAGACTGGCATTTAGCACCTTTTCATTTCGAGAAGCCCTATCAGATTGCCGTGATCCCATGCCGTGTGTTTGCCTGTGCCCCTAATATAGAACGAACGCACTGGCAATGCTACTGTACTATGTTCAAGGGATCAGCATCTTTGACCTTGATCACCTGAGTCGATTGGTGCGCAAGTAGGCTACCCCAAAACATGGCTTCTAGATCCCGACAGCCACAGGTACAGTGTGATCAGACTCTCCCCTTTCTGCCGTCGACTCAAGTCAGGCCACGCACAAGTAGTGTCGAAGATGGTCTGAACCCTTGTCCCACGCCTTACCTCGTTGTGTTTTCTCATGAGTTCATCGGTTAAGCTGGCAAGTGTTTTGCAGGGTCTCATGACTTGAAGGCCCAGTAGTCTCAGTATGTACGAATACCGTCCCTTCGACTGTAAATGACATAATACGTCTGGATAATAACAAGGTTCTTTGTTATTCCTGTATTAGTGTGAAAAGAGTCATCTTGGCAACCCCATTTACTCGTCGGACTTTTACCTCCCTGAGCAAAAGCTAGCACAACTTCTCTGTCGTTCAGTCAAAACCACATCCTGACAGCAGAACAGCGGAACCAGGTGGGAACTCCTAGCCTTGGCCCCGTTGCATGTATATCCACTTGGTGGATTGAAAGGTGCGGCTCCGACAGGGTCGTCGTCTAACTTTGTTCTTCTTATTTTTATCAGTTGTTTTCTCGGCAGGATTCTAGTATTAGCAATAGCTTTGCTGCCTAGGTCTATGCTGAGTAACAATAGCATAATGATCTTCTAAGAATTTATCATGGCATCATAAGTGATACTCGTACATATCATCTCATCGGTATCGAGTAACGTAGTAGAGGGCTGGAGAAGAGCCAGACACTTTTTTGCTTATTACATGGACAAAGCAAAGGGACCAGGCGTGGATACCAAAAAGATCGTCGGTCTGCATGCATCTCGATCTTCTGTGCCTCCCAGCTATACGGGACATGCATATCTAGCTCCAAATTAAGACGCTAGTCAGGGCTGACATAAATCATGAGGCAAGCACTGACCAGACTTCACGCTCTGTAGGCCCATTTCTGACTGGGTGTATTTTTGTCTGCTCTTGGGCAAAAGGGCTGTGCACGACAAGGTTCAGCTTTCAGGAACGTTGAACTCTCAACTTTACTGAGCACACCGCTTTCGGCTATTCCTGTTAAGACTGCCCATAATAGGTAACCTTGAGAGGCACTTTGTAGCTTGGCAAAAATGCAAAGGATATCCTATCAGTATCTATCACTCAAAAGTCTCAGTCCGACCTGCAGTTGGTTGTAGCAGAGATGAGATCATACCATGCGCTAGGTATTGAGCTTTTTTCAGTTCATGTCATAGAGAGCCAGGGGCAATTGTTAAGCTTGCCTGCTGGATGGTAGTTACCGATAGTTACAACCCAATTTGCACCTGGCAACAACCAGTTTTCCCTTGAGCCGTAACCCCAGCTCTTTCTAACGACTTCACAATCAAACGGTTGCTTAGCACCAAGGTGACCTTAAGCACTGGCAAAACGTGCCGGGCCAGGGATGCGTCAATAATCGATCCCACGTTGTCATCTACCGACGACGGTCACGGTAGGCAGTAACGAGGTTGGGAAGTGCGGAGCATGGCACCGGCAGTCGACAGATTTATCGAGAGGAATCTGATGGGCTTTTCGAAATGCCCTGTTGTTTCTGGGTGGAGTTGGGTTCTTCAGGGGAAATGCCATTTTGGAACACGAGCTGCGCGATTTGGACCAAACAGAGGCCTCAATGACATTAAGTCATAATTTGGATCCGATCAAGGGTCAGCGGGCCCTAGTCGCATTCTGCCAGATTAGTCTGTGGAGCTGGGCCGCCTTGATATCTTTAGTACTACCACCTGAGAAAGAAAAGTATTTGACGCTCAACGAGGGCAATACCACAAACGGCCTGGCACCTTGATGCTCCGCACAGACATGAAACAAGAATTGACAAGAGAAGTCCATGAGTGCACCGGACTATCATAGCAATCTAGTTTGGTTCGCCAAGGCAGACCTCGTCTACAGATGGCACCTTGGACGGAGAAGACTGAGTAAGGGATTCATCAGAAGGACAAGGTATATGACAAGAGAGGGGAACCGTGGGCGACTGAAACAACCATCAAATCGCTCAGTCGATGATCTCATCGACCTATGCTAGCCTTAAAATCCGGGGATGGACAGAGAAGAGCCATGCTGATTTTTCTCAATCCGCAATCGAGGCTACTGTTTCCTTGGTTGAATGGCCAATAAAAAACCAAGCTTGAGGCAGTTTCGGCCGAGATGTGGGACAGTGGACTGGCTTGCTTAACATCGGCCGAAGAAAAGGCTCTGTTTCAGTTGTGGAACCATTGGGTCGGGGGATAAGGACCCGAAGCAGAAGGGAGCTGAGCTGACTATGCTGGAAACAGTGTGCCTTTGTGTAAGATCTTGCTCCATTGTGGCCAAACTTCAGCCTCGTCCAACATAGTTGCAGCCGGGCAGCTGTAGGCTTTCCGGGCGGGGCCTCGGTTCGGTAAACCTCTGGTGGGGGGAGCCGTCTGCCATAGCATAGCATGATGGTAGCTTGGCGGAACCTGCTGGTCCATTGACCAAAGCTCTAATAACTTCTGTACACATCCACGATGAGTAACAAAGGACCAAGGTCGGAGCAAATGCTGCTTAGGGTATGTTGTTGGTTGAGCCTGAGCTTGGTGTACGGTATGTGTGACATCGGAATGAGGATTGTTGAACGAAGCCATTCACGGTGTGGAGGGTAGGTGACAGGAACCTATCGATCATCACGCTGTTGTTTTTACTTTGACTCGGTCCATTCTTTATTATATTTTTTTTGTTGGGTGGGGAGAATTCGACTTTAATGATGTGATGATGTCGAGATGCTGCTGATCTGATGTACCTGCAAAGCGTTTGTAAAATAAATTCAGAGATGAAGGGGGTGAGCTGAGTGGATGTGAGGGGTAATAGATGTGCAGATACAGAACAGATGCAGGCAATGGTGATGATGATCATCATGATGCGACAACGCTATTGTCAAGAAGAGAAAAGATGGTGGTGGTGGGTATCTGTACTGCATAGAGCAGCTGCCTGAGGTACAAAGCTTGTGATCTCTTGTGGTAGGAAGTCGCGTTTTACATTGGACAAATAGAAAAATGGAAGGCGCATTTGGTTGGCAACTACGACAAGACGTTCCTGCCTATGAGGCAATTGAATTTGAGCATCCATCCACAGAAAAAGGCAAAAAGGTCGTGGCTGTTTTTGGGCGACGAACCACCACATGCACTTCTTCCCCTCTACACCATCAATCAAGGGGCCTCAAATCTAAAATGGTAATCGGTCAGATCCCAAAGTCTGCTCAGCTTGGATTGGTTTAGTAAAAAGTAAAGTGTAGTACATGAGTGCAGAGCCTTATTAGTAACAAAGCTAGTCATAGGTAAAAAGGCCTGGCTCCTCTTTGTTGAGACAATGTCTTGGTCCAACGCTTGTATGTACAAATATTTCCGCTGGTCCATTCCGCAATGCAACTCTCCAGGTACCTACAGAGTATGCTATGCTGTGTTGCTGTCCGCAAGTGGAGCACATCTCCCTTTTGTTGGTATCCATCCGTGACTTTGACCATGTCTTGAAATAGATTACTTCTAGAAGCCCTACGGTCAAGGGCGGTCGAAAAACCACCTACCGATCGGACCCTGGGCCAGTTCGAGTTCTTCCCTAACCTTGACAAATAATACAGCCACAACTATTCCATGTCTCAATAGCTGTCGATGCATCTGAGATAGCCTTTCAGCTGCAGCCACTCACTGATTTATGTTACATTGAACTGCAAGCCAGCATGGTTATTGATTGCCTTTCCGCAGATAGCCACATGCAAATCATGCATAATGAGTTGTTGGTCAGATCCAAGCCGAAGTCTGAACCAATAGAAGCCCCTCAAATACTCTAGTCTATGATGATTTCAAGATTGGCTGGCTGCCAGTTCGACAATCAATCAATAGCCTGTGACTGTGGAAACTTTGCCTTGACAACACTACGTGCGTGTGGCTGGCTGCACTGTACAAGGGAACCATCTTTTTCAATGACTGACTGATGTTATTCTCAACTCGTACCTGGTAGTCCTGCCAAGGGCTGATATGTCACTAGACCGACCGAGTGTTTACAAGGTATCGTCGGGCAAGGGTAAGCCTGGCTACCACTTATCAAGGTTTGCTCCGGAGAAGAGCGCCATCCCTGTCTATTGTACACGGCAGCTCAACATTCGCTTCCATAATTCAACAACAACCGAACAGTAGAGTACCCTCAAAACAACTGGATACTCCCATCCCATTGCCATGCAGTGGCTAGATAGGAGATAAAAGCAACACAAAATAACTAGGCCCAGTTTTCGTACCTCGGTAGTTTCAAGTTGTGCACTTGAGTGAATATCACAATTATACTATTGCACATGGAAGGTTGTCGTTGAGGATTAGCCTTTTTAGCGTTCTTAGTAAGGTGCGGTGATATGATGGTCTAGACCTTTCTCTGACTTCATAGGTAATACTATTAAGGAAACCACTGACTTTACAGGGTATCATTGTAGCCTCTCATTCGTGCATTTATCTGCAGTTCAACCTTTGTAAGAGATCAATGGAACCGTAGCATGACTCTGATTCGTTCGCAAGGTCGACTGAGAAAGAACTGTGAATTTGACCAACTTTTTGGATGTTCCAAGAGGCATCATACGATGGCCTCAGGGTTTTAGAAAGATTGGCCGCTGAAAGCATAAGACACAAAATTAGCAGGACAGTTTATGTCATTCAGGCCAGACTTCTTGGGCTATTTATTTTTGTATCCTAAAATCTAAAGGCCAACTTTTCTATCACCCACTGGGATGATTCAAGTCCTCAATCATGTTCTGTGTCTACCTACCCTGCCCTTGCCCGGCGGACAAGGGTCGGCATTAGAGAGGAGCACAATTTTCGTAGTATCTTGAAATTCATGAACTTGAATTATTGATCTGACGCCGTGAATGTCATGATAACATCCTTTTACCAACCAACAAACTGCTCTAGGTAGAAGCTACCAAGAAAAGGTCAACTCCGAACTGATCAAGCAGACTCGAAGTTTACAAGAAAAACGTAATGTCCAGTACAACCGGAGGATACAACACCCCGAACCTCCGTAATTGGCATAAATGGAATGTGAGAGGATTGGCACGATAGATAGCCCTAAATAACCTCAATTTGCGGTCAAGGAAAATTCATTCCGCAGTACGACATAATCATGGTTGCACTGTATGTGGTAAGCTAAGCCTTTGATCGCTATTCTTGCGGCGTAAAATAAATTATCACGGGTTGCAATACGTTTCCCGACAGCCTGTGAAAGGCCCAAGTATTTGGTTAAGGGTTACACTTAGACGAGGGAGCCCGAATACGTCGACACCCTAGAAATAGGATCTACAGGCCAGCATCATACCCGAGGTAATCCCGACCAGGAACGTTTGGTTCGGGAGGATCATGTCTATCAATAAACATATCCATGTAACACCGAGCCTCATGAAACATATGATGAGAGTTTGCTATAGATGAAGGGGTATCAGATTGCCAAGCGATGACGGATGACTCGGTAAGACGGACGAAAGTCAGTAGGGAAAGGTATGAGGCAAGGCTGACTGCGCCCGCCAGCAATTGCTACTGTTACTGCTACCGTTCCTACTGCAAATACCACCATGACATCGAGAACCCTGAGACAGGTCAGCGACGTCATGGTGTTGAGACTGTGAGGGGGAGACAGAGGCGCAAGGACGAGACGAGAGTCTAGTGGATGTACCCGTAGCTCTATCTTGACTGCGAGATGGGAAAAGACAGGGGAACACAGACCAAAGATTTGGAAACGAACAAACAACAGTACCTAGACTGGAACGAAGCGAAGAAAGCTACCGACTTAGACCGACAAGGTAAGCACCGACTGTAGGTCGATTACAGCCTGAAGGTCGTTTGTGAAAGCGTTTGTGCGGCGTTTATCTCACCTAGAGTGGGTCGCAAGTAACGTTCCAGTGTTACTAATCTGAGAACTAACCAGTTGTGGTTAAGCGCATGCCTTTTTTAGAACTTTTCCATACTGACATCTCAACTCTCAGTTCAAAATATGCCGTTTCTGGAGCCATGTCGCCTCTACAGATTGCGCTTGTACTGCAAATGCAATGCAAGGTAAGGGATTTGTTGTTTGTTAGGTCCATCACAGCCCAGCTTTGAACGTTGCTTTATGTGCGGGCTGACAGGGCTTTAGACGTTGGAAGTGGTCCTTGAGGTGTGATTTCTTCTCTTTTCTTTTCTTTTTTGGTTGGCAAGGGCCCAAAGCTCAACTACCGGCCACCCCGGTTTGTCCCTCCAGGAAGAGAGTTCTCTACAGCTCCCCGCCGCCCATGTGCACTAGGCATCACCATTTCTCACTGCTATGTACGCCCAAACCAATCGAAGGAAACGGGCGAGTTCAGACGAGCGAATAGAATAGAAGACCGCTACTTGAGCCAAGTGAGAGCCTTGCAACCGATGCCCCACGGGCACCGAAGCCCTAGGCAAATAGCCCGGATTAGTTAGCTAACCACCCGATTACAGCTCCCCGCCAAAGCCAACCTCTTTCTCTCAAGGGTGACTAAAAAGCATCGTCTAGGTAGGTCGAGCTAAAATCAGCCGTCTGTCTTCTCAACAACAGTAACTACCTACCTAACTGGGTGAAAAGTAAGGACAGTGTAGAGGGGCACGGACATTCAAAGTTATTTTTACTCAGCTACGTAGTGTTTTTGTCACCTTTCCACTCGTTCCACCTGAACCTCGTCCAATGGAAGCTCGGTTGGTTAGCGTTTAGTCAAGACTCACTGTGACTTACATTCTTGGCGATTGTAAGTAGGCCTCTATTTTTTCTTTTCCCTTGTTTCTTTGGCTCTTGAGGGTCTAAGATTCCTTTCCGACCACCGCGGAAAAGCGGAGGGCGGACGCTAGTTACCAACGATCTCTGCCCCTTGACCCTGGGCCATGTGCGTCATGTCCTCTGTTTGCAAGGTTGTTTCTCGGCCGCTGCTCTAGGGCTCATGACTGACTGGATGGCTGGATGCTCAGCTCAGCCCGTCGTGGTGCACATACGGCACTGTGCTATTGTATTGTCTGCTGTTTGTTGCATATGAGCGTCAACTCAACTGCTGGAAGAGCCCAGAGCCGAGGTGACCGGGCGCTGTGCACCCTCTGTAGGTGTCACCATCCGCCACTCCATATGTTTCGATGTTGCTGTTATTGTTATGCGCTGTTGTGCTGTGCTGTACTCGCACTCGGTCACTGTCCACCTTTTCTTTGTCGCTTTCTGCCAGTGAATTACCCATTCTGGGTTGGACTGGGTTTCTACCCGCCACCACCGCATCGACCGGACTGAACCTCATGATTTGAGGTTTGTTCCGTCAATGTCAAAAAGCATTAGTTACCATCCCGGCGGTCGTGTAGAACCATGGCACGAGCACAAGCCAGCGAGGTCGGCCGTCTACCCAATGAAGCATCTCAAATGGACAGTCCCCCAAAATAGCACAGTAGAAGCACCTGGCATGTATGGATCGATGTTATCTTCAGACATGGATCCGACCTACTACTGTACGTTTGCCGAGCGAGGTCTTGGCCTAGCATCTCCAATTCCATGCGTGCTATTCCAGTATCCCTACATACTCCGCAAAGTTCCCGTTTGGCACGTTCCTCTGCCTTCTGACCAATCCTTTTGCCCGGGACATGTTGATCTGGTATGGACGTTTTGTTAAAGTCATGGCCTGTCTGTGGCCGACGCTTCTCGGGTCTTGATCAATGAGACGGATTTCTCAACTATGACAGATGCCCAGCCCAGGGATCTTTTGGAGACAGCGGCCCTATTACTGATGAGGCTGCAGGTCGACCCCCCCCCCCCCCCCCCCCCCCCCCCCNCCCCCCCCCCCTGGCGTCCCTTGTGGCACCGGGCCACACCCCATGTCCTAGCGTCTTGGGCTGGTAGGTTGTATTTCTCCAGCGCGCGCATCTCACGGTCTCTCACTCTAGGTCCTCATGCTCAGCGCGCAGATACCACAAAGGCCCATCCATGTTCGGGGTTGACGGCCAAGAGCCAGCGTCCGATACATTGGAACTCATCCGCTGCTGCCCGCTGCCGTAGTCCCGGGGCCCGCACTCCACAGTCCACAATTACCTTAGTCTGAGACCGAACTCGCCGCTTGTCCTTGACGTTCCCTCGGCCTATTCCTAGGTCCCTGAATGGCAGACAAGGTTGCTTGTTTCGTGATCCTGATGATGCTCGTCTTGACTCTGGCTCAGGCTAAGACCCAGGCTGGCTTGTGGTGGGTGCACGCTTTTAGCATTGATGAACTGGCACTGACGCTGATTGCTGCTGGCTCCTGCACTCTTACCCACACAGCACATGGCACATAGTCCAGGACCCTCTTACCTCACCCTACCTGCCTCTCCCCAACTGTTTATCACGGTACAGCACGGCAGGTACCTACAGTAGGTACCTCTTACCTTACACAGCCTTCCATCCGTTCCTTCCATCCCACTCTTTCCTGCCTTACCTACCTTACACTCCCACACTCCTCATACCCCCCGGTTACTCTTCCCCCGTCTGCATCTGCTCCGCTTGTATTTAACAAAGCGGCTGCCCCCAGCTCTTTCCTAGATCCTCTCTTGATTCCCTTTGGATATCTCCATCAAACATCTCAACCTTTAACAAAGCTATCACCACGTTCGCTATCCTCCTCGCCCTCCTCACCCTTCTCAACTTTTAGGAAGTCCTCGTCGACTCCTGTCACTCGCTTTTATATTACGGTGCCTTGATACTACAAGAACGGTCTCACTTACGATCCTCTTCTCTTACATTTCTGGACATTCGATCTCTTCCTATTGCGGATAATAAGGAACACTCGCTCTGTACAAGGAATCCTCATCGTCTACAACGTCAAGCTAGAATTACCTGGACTCGATCCCCAAGCTTTCGAAGATCGGCTGTTGGTTCATTCAAGGATACAAGATCCTCAACTCCGCTCACATGCTCATTCAAGCTTGAAGCTACTCGACTCATCTTTGTACATCCACACTCGCTTTACGGATCATCAAACTCTCCCAGAAAGGAAAAAAACAAATCAAGAACGCCATATTCGATCGCTACCACTCACCTGGATATTTGGAAAACGACAACTCATCGCACCACCCAACATTCCACAGCCAAGATTTCAGATATCTCCAAGACTCATCTGACTTTTATCTCTGGAAATTAATCGACTGGGTGAATTATTGATTGTTACCTTTGTCCTAACGCTCGCTTCCAATCCACAAGTTCGTCTTTGTGGATAATTTCGCGTATGTTTCTTACCCTCACGAGACAAGGCGCACATGCTTACTGAATAGTTCTTACCAAACCTTCACTTTTAATACTGCAAAATGGCCGGTCCCGGTGGTGGTCCTCCTCGCCGCAGTCACACCAAGTCTCGCAAGGGCTGTGATACCTGGTATGATTCGCCTCATCTACGATGCTCTCCTGTCTGAATACTGACTTTGCCCTACAGCAAGCGCCGTCACATTCGTTGTGATGAAAACTTCCCTCAATGGTGAGTCTGCCTTGTAATGATCTACTTCTCCCGAGCTAACATGCATGTAGCCGCAACTGTACCAAGCACAAGATTCGATGCCCTTACAATGACGTGCAGGTTCCCGATTCTGAACGCTCTACCACTCCCGACAAGCCCGACCTGATGTGGACACCTCAAATCGAAGCTGCTATTACTGAATGGCAAAGAACAGGCATCTTCCCGCTCCCCAGCCTCGGAATATACCCTGCGCCCATGCCCCATTTGTACTCGGTCGAGGATCTCCGTCTGATCTATCACGTTGCGGCTTTGTACTACCAGTTGGCTACCATCGATGCGAACAACTTCACTCTCTGGACTCGCCACATTCCCACGTACGTCGAATCTTGACTCATCTCAGTGAATGTGAATGCTAAAGCTGTCTCTAGTCTTCTTCGGATAGGTGCTACAACTCCATATGTGATGCACTCTCTGCTTGCCTTCTCTGCCATGCACATTGCTTTCCTCACCGACTGTCCTTTGGTCGGCAGCATGGCCTATGAACACCGAGGCATTGCTCTCAAGGGTCTCCAAGAGGCCATTGGATCTTTCTCCCGTGAGACTTCTGATGCTATCTTGGCAGCCTCTCTTGTCCTTTCTTGGCAGGCTACTGACTGGTAAGTATCTATCTTTTCATTTGTTGTAACTGTGACTGACCCAATGATTAGGCGCAGTTGGACTCAACTGATGCAGGGTACCTCATCGGTAAGTTAACAATCATATCGACTCTTGAACACCTCTAACACACAGGCAGGTGATCGATGCCATGGATCCATGGAAGCACGAATCCCAGTTTGGAGACTTTATTGCCGAGAGCAGCACGTTCCCTACAGCCCCGCCATCTCCTGGAAAGGATCATCGTCCCAGCCAACCTCGCCCTGAGGATCTGGAAGCGTACCAGCGCACCCTCGAGCAAGTTCAAAAGGTCGAGGCACATCTTAAGCACCACAAAGAGGACACAACTCAGATTCAGCATCTAATTGGTTTTCTTCGAGGTTCTCGCAAGATCAGCCCTACACTTTCCATTGCCCAGCAATTCGAGCGTCTCCAACCTCTCCGCAAATGGCTCTTCTGGATGCCTGTTGGTTACCTACAGAACTACCATGGTTCCCCCAACTCTCTGGTCATCATTGCTCATTTGTACACTGTGGCTCTTCTCATGGAACGACTGTTCCCCGAGATCGGCGCTGCCTACTTTGGAAGTCTGTCTATCTCCCCAGTCGAGGAGATTGCCCGTCGGCTTATGTCCATCAATGTCTCTGGTGCTGGAACTGATATGCAAACTCCCCTGACTCTCATGGAGTTTCCCATTGATACAGTTGGTCAGTTCCGCTCTCGTATGGGATGGTTGCACCCCGAAAGAACTCCATCATTCCCTCAGTTCAACCCTCGCAACTTCACTGTCCAGGAGAGCATGCCTTCTACTGAACACTATCTGTATGGGAACCCTGCTTTCAGCTACAGCACCGAGGAAATGCCCATGCTCAACGCCTCAGGACCGCCACCTTCTGCAGTGAGCCCGCTGGTTCTATCACCTTACCCAAGCCAGCAATACCTCAATGTTCCCTCCCCAGCTTACACGGGAGCTTACAGCCCGGCATCCTCGACCTTTGAGGGCTCAGTTGCGTACAGCGATACCGAGGAATACGGATCATGGGACATGAGCACCCTCCAGGGCGGGCCTTCTTCCGCCATTCATGACTCTCCTCAAAACTATGGCGTCGGGTTCGTTACTCCTGTCCAGGCCGTGTGGATCTAGGCTCCTCGAGACGACCACCGGCTCAATTTACACGAAGAACATTAGGGGATTGACCTTTACCACCCAGGATGAACACAGCACCTACGTACCCGCATCAAGAGGACTCGAGTTTCTATATGACCTCGGTGACAAGCGCTCCGTCTCCGTATCTCAGCTCGGAGCAATTCGGCATGCTTCCTTTACCCGAATCACCCGTCGCGTCGAACGCACCACTTTCACGACATCGACACACATCGTCCATGTCATCTGTTACACACCCTCCATCTCCCTTGGTACGACCTCCTGTGATGCACCCATATGACGACAACACCCGACGCCGAGTCACCTGATACCCAGTCGGAGCTCGATTTACTCAACCTGTTTTGCCATATTTCGATTTGACTTTTTACTTTTCCCCAAAAACGACGCAGGCGCCATGTATACCACGTTCCTTCAACGCTCGCTACAACCGAATCATACCACGTTGCCATGCAACGCCAACACTCCTTCAACCTCGATTGATACACGCGCCTGGGAGTGCCGTATCATACCTCACACTCTTTGCAATGCCCATCGCCAAAAGAAACGACGCTCCTTCAAATCATGATACCCCATAGACACTCCTTTTTGACGACTTTACGACGATTCGATTGGTTATAGAATTGACTCCTTGCGGACCCCCCTTTACCATTTGTGGGAAAACCGTACCTGGAGAGCATAGCGACTGTTTTATTTATTTTTACTGCGCCCGGGAAAAAGTTTGGCGTTTACCGGAGTTTGAGTTAGCATTTGTTTAGCGCTTTCGACCTTGTTATGTTTGCTTCTTTTTGGAATGATCATGCTTATCGCTTCCAGCTCTTCACAGAGCTTGGGATGGCGATGGAACAACACGGGACGGAAGCACGATTGGGTTTTGGGATATTTTATCTGGCTCTATGAGAGAGACTGTAGGCGGATATATGTTTTGGATTGGCATGACACATATGAAGGATATCATGTGAAGATAGACGCTATATTTGTTGCTTATCACGGCTGTATTTCATGATTTGTAGGTAGAGAAGATTGATGTTTGACGGCAGTTGCATATACTGCCTGGAGGTTAATTCTTAATCTACGCTGTTGCATTTACCATAAATCTCTCCATGTTGGCCAAGTGATTAATCAGGGTTGTACTTTTAAGGACGTCATATCTTGTTCATACTTTGTCTGGCTTATGGTGAGATAAGTCATAGGTAATGGCGGACGAAGCAGCAATAACTCTCGGAATTGACATAGCATGTATATATGACATTGTTAAATCCAACTCGAAATGAAAGCAAAAAACTAGTACTCTCACGCAAGTTGTCAAGATCTTCGTCTTGGTCGTAAGCCTTTGGTGCACCTTCGCCTTGTATAGGCACATAATACTAACCACCTCATACCTACTGGAAGTGAGAAATGCTCCTGTTTTCGTCACGGCCTGATCTAAGGCATACGATTAAACCTTTATAAACTTACCGCGAAAGAGGGATTCCCATGTGTTACACCCCTCATATCATATTTGTCTTTGCTTTGTCACTGAGGAACCCCTGGCTGTGTCGTCAAAGTTTGACAAGTTTGATGTGCATTCATTTATGTGAGTAGTGTGAACATTGGTTGGCTTGATCAATGAATGTATTCATATATGCCTAGTTAGCTGTTTGTTCTCTTGGATAAAACTCGAGCTAGTTATTTCGAATCCATATATTATCACATCGGTTTACGCTCATTGTGTAACGGATGGTACATATACCTGGCGAGACACTTTTGATCTTGATAGAACAGAGTAGTGACCTTGACAGCGATACCCCCGAAGTGCAACAGGAGATGAATGCTACATATGACTTACGCTATAAGACATCCCAACGATATGTGACAACGGCTGATCAGATAACAAACAGTCCGTGGCATGGATCTCAGCTATAACGAGCTTCTTAGTGTTGTGGATCATCGCATGTTTGCAGCTTTCTCACAATTCCAGTGTCTTGTCATATCTCTATGCAGTTACAATACTTATAAGTGGATTTGATTTGAAGCCGGGACTACTACGGTCAACACCTTCCATACTTCAACGCCGTTTTATATGAGGTTACAAGCAGAGCCTTCCCAGACATCAACGCCATCCATAGCTTTAAATGGATAGGCCACTATCCAAAACATCCCTCATACGCGCCCTAGACAGAACCAGACAAGTGATGGGGGTAGTACGATGCAGTGCATAAAAATAAAAGAAACAATTCTTGACAAAAAGGAGCGCATAGCCATCCAGGTTGTTGGTATCAATATTCCATTCCGGTCCCCCTCCCAGGAACTCATATCCAGCCGATGTCACCTCTTCTCGGAGGCCCAACCGGTTCCTGTCTAGAAAATACATAATAATAAAAAAACGACGGCCACCATTTGGAGGCTCTGTTGCCTCGAAAATGCGTGCCTGTCAATACCCAAAACTCCGAGGCGCCTGTGCGGGAGAAAGCAAAACAATTGAAACGGATCATATGTGGGTGTATTGGTTCAAGTCGACTGCAGTATCTTGTGTTGTCGATGCTACATCTCCTAAGTATCGACATTCTTCAAAATCATGGCGCGACGCTTCAATAACTGGGCGTATGGGCGGTCAGCTGGATTTTGGGGTTTGCAAAGAGCAAGCATCTCTTGCTTGATGAGCAGTTATACCCACGTTGTAAATCAAGCTGACGTGCT